GGGAACCCAGTACACTGCTGGTGGGAATGCAGACTGGGGCAGCCACTATGGAAAACAGTATGGAGTTTCCTCAAAAAATTAAAAATTGATCTCCCATTTGACCCAATGATCCTACTTCTAGGAATATATCCTAAGAAACCTGAAATACCAATCAGAAAGAACTCATGTACCTCTATGTTCATAACAGTGCAATTCACAATAGCTGAGATCTGGAAACAGCCCAAGTGCCCATCAGTAGATGAGTGGATTAAAAAGCTGTGGGACATTCACACCATGGAATACTATGCAGCTGTAAAGAGGAAGGATCTTTTATCCTTTGGTGCAGCATGGATGGAACTGGAGAGTTTTTTGCTAAGTGAAATAAGCCAGCCAGAGAAAGACAAGTACCACATGATCTCACTTATATGTGGAATATAATAAACAAATTGATGAACAAAATGGATCCAGAGACACAGAAGCATGGAACAGACTGAGGGATCCCAGAGGGAAGGCGGGGAAGGGGGAGTGAGTGGGAAGAGATTAACCAAAGAACTTATGTGTTTATGAGCATAACCCATGGGCACAGGCATTGGTGTGGGGAGGGCCTGGGGGTGGGACGGATGCGCGGCGGAGGGGATCAACGGGGGGAAAAAGGGGTCATCTGTAATATTCTCAACAATAAAGATAAAGAAACTTAAAAAAAAGAAAGAAAATGAGTCCCTATGGAGAAAGCCTGCAACTAAATTCAAAGCAACTAGATTAACTTTCCTGCAGATGAATGAGGGAGAGAAAGGTCGCTCTGTTCACTCCCGCAGGTAAGAACTGCCAACGGCACCCGCGTTTTGTTCCAACCTCCCAATCAGCACAGCCCCCCCTCTCAATGCGACCTCTGCCGGGAACCAACCTGTGTTGCGCTTTAACTGACCAGGGCTTATTGTATTAAAAGAAGACTCCTCCATCGACACGAAGCGACGACGACATGAGTAATTCTGCGCAGCGGTCCGAGTCCTGCTAAAATGCACGCGATCCGCACCCCTGCGCTGCCTGCCAG